AAATTAACAAAACTTAAATGGTCTAAGCAAATGCGACTAAATGTAAGTAAGGAATAATTTTAATATATTAGTAAATAAGACTTAGATGACACTTAATACAATAAAGTTAAGATTACTTAACTTATTAAGAATTAAGGCAACATGTTTGCACAATTTAATTAAGTAAACTTAACAAATTTTACTGTGCATTTCATGTAATTGAATTATCTGTGAAGTCTGTGAAAGTCTGTCATTCCTTTGTGGCTTTAAGCCACACATCAAACCTTGTTATTTCTGTTGGTTCTAATTAATTTACGATCATTCACACTTTGATAAGAAAAAGACAGTTCATGTGTGGTTGTCATTGCATGTTAATGTAAACCTTCATGTTTTCTACAAAAGGTGTTGTTTTGTCTAAAGCAAAAGGCATCTGTTTTTTGTAGTCCGCATACACCTGATCACATTGAAATGAAAGGTTCCACACGTGGTGTGGAAAGGGGTTGCCATCTTGCCAGCTGTCCTCTACAAACTCATTACACTACATTACTGTACTTTCCCCACGAAGATCATTACTGTGATTCATTATTGCCTAACACTGCAGACTGATAAGCCGTTAAGCACCGCTTGAGTGTGATGATAGCCCAAGAACTTAACACACTTACTGTAACTATACACTTACGTATATGACTGACATACTTGTATTACTGAGCAGTACTGTACATGAACCAAAACCGGTAAAAACAGTATATCATATACACTTCTGTGGTTTGTATTGTAGGAGGAACGATCACAACAATCAGATAAGGCTGCTGAACTTACATGACACTTTTCATCTGTAACACAAATTAATTCAACAAGAAAATGCTTATTCTTTTGTATCTGTTGTCATGTTGGAAAGCTGTGAATGCAGGTATGTCTTTTTATCGATACTCTTTACTGCTACTGCAGCATATGTGACGTTTTTAGTTAAACAAGGACCTTTCTAAAAGTAGAACATGTTAAATATTGTTCAATGTATGACCAAGTTGTATTAAAGAAATAGAAGACACATTATAAGTAGATGTTTGAAATATCCTACTTCAATACATTATACTGAGGAGACAGAGGAGACAGGCCATTGGTAGAAAAATTAATGAAAGAAATTGTAATGCTCAATATAGTGGCTGTAAAAATAACATTTTCATGCGGTTTGGATTATTTTGATATGAGTAAAGGGTGTTTACATGATAAATAAGTGTAGCAATTAGTTTATTATAAAAGGCTACAAATAACATATATTTGCCTCACATTAGACCACAGTTGTGTTGGGCTTAAATATTAATATTAATATTTTGTTTTTGTTCACTAGTCACTCAAGGTGAGTGTAAGAGTGTCAGATGATTTCTTCCTATTACGGGGCAGTTATCTATATATTTATGATTATAGTGATTATTAGGGATGTCCAAAGCCGATCTCAAGGATCAGGATTGGGTCCGATCAAATATTTTTTTAACTGATCGGTATCAGCTCCTTTAAGCCCAATCCTTACTGTACGCCAGCTGTCATGCAGTAGGTGGTGGAATGCGCCTTTAAGAAGCTCAAATCAGTGTGCGATGTGCAAGAACCAATGAGGTCTGTTCTAATGTGTCACACACATTTGAGCTTCCGTATTCAGTGTATTTTATGCACACGTTTGTAACGATCACTCGATTTATCTGCCGTCAGACTATCTGAGACGTCGTTTGTCATATCGCGTTGCTATGAGTTGTGTCTTGCTTCAAATTTGACTGGTAGACTGGCATTCTGGCATTTGTGAGCTTCATGCTTTCTAACCATATCTTCACTTTTTCCCTTTATGTTGCAATTATTCTACTTATCGTACATATAAAATACAAGTTTATATCAGTAGTCCCATATTCATAATTGTGACCACACAGTCTGTTTACAATGTCTACCACTGTAACATCTTTATGTCACACTGGTTTTTGGGTTTTGTTTTTTGCTTAGGTTTTCTTGTCTTTTATTTTGTATTTTCTTGTCTTGGTTCTTCCAGAGCCTCACCACTTCATGGCCGCCACACCAGAGCCTCGCTACATCATGGCCGCCACTCTAGAGCCTTTCCACGTCAAGGCCGCCATGTTAGAGTCTCTCCACGCCATGGCCGCCACTCCAGAGCCTCGTCATGTCATGGCTGCCACTCCAGAGTCTCGACCCATCATGGCTGCCATGCCAGACCCTCTTCACTACATGGTCGCCATACCTGAGTCTACGGCTAAGATGTCTGCCATGCCCGAGCCTCGTCACGCCATGGCCACCATGCCAGAGCCCCGTGCCTCGAGCCTGGAGGTCCTCTACGGTGACCCAGTAGTGCACAACACAACAAAATCTCCACAACACAATGGAAACAAGCCACAATACAACGAAATTAGCACAACACAATGGCAAAAAGACACAACACAATGAAATTGGCACAACACAACGGAACTGGTCCTATGCACACCAACATATATATTTGCTACTTTTTAATGCGTGAGCTCCTCTTTAATAAATAAGGCACATATTCTTTTTAAGCACTGTTACAGTTGAATGAGCCGAGGGATTTAATGCAGGGCCTAATGGTCTAATAACTAAATCCAAATTTTGATATCCAATATATTTTCACGAACCCTTGAAGTTTCTATGGGACAATACATTTGTTTACGTTGTGTTGTGCTAATTTCGTTGTGTTGCTGCGTGTTTCCGTTGTGTTGTGGCGATTTTGTTGTGTTGTTGAGATTTCGCTGTGTTGTGCACTACTGGTCCACTGTAGTCCTCTCTCCGTCAGCTGTACTGCCCATGATGGCGGTTGCTATATTGTGTGTATGGGCTGTAGACTGCTCTCCAGTCCATGAGTCTGCTCCAGAGCCTGCTCAAGTACATGAACCCGCTCCAGAGCCCGCTCAAGCCCTAGAGCTCAGTCCTGTGTTGGCACCAACCTGTGAGTTTCCTGCCTGTTCTGTTTTGACCACAGTGGTCACATGTGAACCCTCTGCCAGTCCTGTCATGGCTAAAGAGGCCAACTCTGAACTCACAGTCTGCCCTGTCACAGCCAAGGAGGCCGTCCCTGATCTCTCTGCTTGTTCTGCCACTTCCAAGGAGGTCATTACTGAACCCCTTGCCTGTCCTGTCATGGCCATGGAGGCCATCTCTGAACATTCTGCCTGTCATGTCATGGCTATGGAGGCCGCTCATGAACTCTCAGCCTGTCATGTTACGGCCAATAAGGCCGTTCAAGAATATTCTGATTGTCATGTGGCCACGGAGGCCATTCACAAACTCTCTGCCTGTCATGTAACTGCCACTGAGATTGTTCATAATTACTCTGCATGTCCTATCACAGCCAGGTGATCTGTCCATGTCTCTGCTCCGCCATGGCCTCCTGACCTGTGGTGGTCTTCTGTTCCGCATGCTTCACCATGGTCACCTGCTCTGCTCTGGTCACCTGCTCCACTGGCTCCACCCTGGTGGTCATCTACTCCATCGTGGAGATCCTCAGTCCCGCCCGCTCCGCCCTGGTGGTTTTCAGCTCCACCTACTCCGCCCTGGTGGTCTTCGGCTCTGCCCTGGCTTCCAGGCCTGCCATTGCTCCATGGTCCAGGTCCACCACTGCACCACGAACTTCTGCTCCACGGTCTAGACCTGCCATTGCGCCACGGTCCAGGCCCACCTCTATTCCATGGTCTAGACCTGCCCTTGCTTCACGGTCCAGGTCCACCACTGCTCCACGGCCCATGGTTTTGCCCTCTGTTCCACGGATCAGGCCCGCCACTGCTCCACAGTCCATGCCATGGTCCAGCTCCTGTTCCCCTTCACGGGCCTGGCCCTCCATCCCTTCCCCTGTTCCGCCTCCGCTCCACCAGCCTCCTGAACTTTTTGTTTGGATTGGGGCGGGTATTACATTAGGGCGTCTGGAGCCGCCTTTAGGGGGGCTCCTTTGTCAAGTGACCCCCATATTTGATATATTGTCTAGTTTTGTTCCGTGTACCACAGTTGGTAAGTTTGCCATGTTTTGCCAATTTCCTGTTTATTTTGTGTTTGTTCATGTTTGGGATTAAACTGCGCTTGGGTTCTCACTACACTCACTTCTAGTGGAATTTATTACACTTTACATCTACCAATTTCTTTATATAGTGGCAACACACACACACACACACACACACATATATATATATATATATATATATATATAATTTTTACTTTAAAAATGTTACTTTAAAAACTTATTTTATTTACATAATGTAAAAATTTTTTTTTAAATATTAATACTTATTATAATAGTATCTCAATGATAACACTAGCTGTAACTCACCAGAGGTTGTTGGACGCTCGTCTGGTTGCGGGCTCAAAGTTCACCAGGGACATGTCACATCCTCCAACCTCATAG